CTTCGGTGTAGAGCTTAGCTAGAGTTATTACCTTAGCACCAGGTCTGGATCTACGAAGTTCAGATTCTTCCAGATGGGTATTGTTTGGATCTGACTGTTGTGCTCCACTTCTTTCTGCTGCAGGCCTTAGAGTTGAATGAACCCTTTGTGTCTCCCTGGGAAGATGTTCTGTTCCTGAATCAGCTGGGTGGGTCTTGCCTCTAGCCTCTTAGCAGGGAGTTCTGCTGAAGGGTTCCCTGCTGGGCCTGCAGCCTGGGTCGAATGAGGATCCTCGGGCTCCGGGCCTTGTCACTCACTCGCCGGGCCTGCGCTCTGGATCTATTCAGGATCCCGTGCCCCGGGTCATCTCACTCACTTTCCGGGCCTGCGCTCTTGGTCTGTTCAGGATCCTGCGGCCCGGGTTGTCTCACTCCCTTGCCGGGCCTGCGCTCTGGGTCTGTTCAGCATCCCGCGGCCCCGGGTTGTCTCACTCACTCACCGGGCCTGCGCTCTCATTCTGTTTCTTTCCTATGTTGCTCATTCAAGGATTCCATCATTTTTCTATTCTCCTCTATTTTTTTTAAGTAGTGTCTTCTTTAGAAGCACTTAGTAATTCTTTCATTATAGTTATCACTTCTTGTTTTACTTCAGAGGTTATTTCTGATCTGATGTCCTCTATTCCTTTCTGCACTTGTTTCTTTACTTCAGATGCTATTACTTCAGAAATTTCTGGTATGTGATATCCAGTTTCTTCTAGGCTGGTGTCTACTGCATTTGTTCTGGCTGAGCTCGGGGCCTAAGACTGCATTTTGCTCCTTCTCTGTCATTTTATATAGCACTGTCCTCTGACCTTTGGTGTAGAGCTTTGGTGCAGTTATTATCTAAGCATGTACTGATATTGTTACCTAAGAGAGATTATGTGGTTAAAAGTTACAGTTTTGTATTTATAGAACTATAATTACAACACTAATAATAGGTAGTGAAATTTAGCAGTTGACAAACTTTTGTATATAATGGGTTTACCTTTTAGACCCTAAGAACGAACATAACTGTTTAGCTAAGCAGATATTAGATTGGGAATTTGTACTTATATTAGTTCCCCTAAGTTCTGTCTGATCACCTCTCCTTTTGTACCTGTAGTCTTCCAGGCAGACTAGTTCACCCCTGTTACCTGTTGCCCTCTCTCTCAATCAAGAGAGAACTGGAGAAGATGCTCTCATACATCTGGGTCTAGCAAAGTATCTCAGCTTACCAGGTCTGGATCTACCAAGTGTGAACTCATCCAGATGGGCCTGGCTTGGGTCTGGCTGCTATGCTCCGCTTCTTCCTACTGCAGCCCATGGAAGTGGACCCGCTGTGCTCCTCTGGCAAGATGCTTTGCTCCTGGATTAGTTGGGTGGGTCTCGCCTCTTGCTTCTGTGCAGGGAGTTCTGCTGTAGGGTTCCACACCAAGCCTCTCTGATGGAGGATGTTCTGGTGAGTGCACTCACCCAGGTGAGGGGCCTGGGTGCCAGTTGGAGTAGAATCTGGAGGGTGCGGAAGGTCCCACACTCACACTGGGCCTGGGTGCTAGGTTCATCCATGTGTTTTAATGAGTGTGCTAACACTGTACCAGTGTTAGACCTTCTCTCTTTGAAGCTGACACATTTTTTGATTGTCCTTCCCAGAAATATATGTCTTGGGTATATCCCTTCTGTGTTTCCAGTCCCTTGCCAGCACAGAAGGGCACTGTACTCACTTTAGGGCTTGATAATAGCTTCCTGATTACACGGCAGGTGCTGAGCAAAGTCCTTGCTGACAGAAACATGTCTAAATACTCCTTCTTCAACTAAACACCTGCATTGTTTTTAACCATCTCACAGTCACGGTAGCAGCAACATTGTGATGTGGTTTTCTAGCATTGCTCTTAAACTTCCTTTCCTTCATGTTTTGTCATGGGTTTGATCATTGTCATTTTCATAAACATTCTGAAAATTACCTAAGTAGATGTTATTCCCTTCAGTATAACAATATGTAATCCAATGATAGGGTTGTTCCCCAAAACCTTGTGACCTTAACTTATCTCATTTTCTCAAATGAGTAGAATTCAACCTTTTAGTGATGTATGGACAAAAATGTGAGTACATATGTTTTCACTGTATTTTACCTATAAGACTTTTATATTTACTTCATCTTTTTCTTTCTAAATAATGAAAGATCCAAATATTTAAGCAGAAACTCTTTATTTGTATGTAAATATCCACATTTGCACATAAATAACTGGACTCTAACTTTAGAACCTACCCAGTTAGCCTCTTGAATTTGATTTTTTTGGGGGGAATATGGGGAAAGTACTAGGAATCAAACCCAGGACCTCAAGATTAGCATGCAGGCACTGTACTGCTGAGCCATATCCCCAGTCTCAGATTTGATATGATGAACTACATAATTATGAGAATTGCTATTGTCTGCTTTTCATGGCATTTCAAGTTTCATCACCTGAAACTGAAATGCAAGTGTAATGGGTTTCCTTGTCATTTGCAGGAAATGTTTGATGTGATATTAGATGAGAATCAGCTTGAGGATGCATGTGAACATCTGGGAGAGTACCTGGAGGCATACTGGCGGGCCACGCATACCACCAGCAGCACCCCCATGACCCCGCTGCTGGGGAGGAATCTGGGCTCCACTGCACTCTCACCATATCCAGCTGCAATGTCTGGGTTACAGGTACTGTTACCTCTTACTCACATTTTTATAATATTACTTATAAGATTTTATAAAATCTTGATTAAGTCAAAGACTACAGTTGTCCATAGTCAGAAGGGGGGCACATTACATTTATTAAAAATTTATATGATTACCTCATGATGATTCACCTTAGAGAAAGCTACCCAGAAACTGGGCCTTTCTGAAAAACTGCTGCCTGTACATTTATAATGGATTTTACCTAGATAAACTATACCTGGTAGACTTAATGCCTACTCAGTACAACTGCCCATGACTTCTGCATGACACTCCTTAAAGATTATATAATCAGGGTCGGGAAGATAGCTCAGCTCAACAGCATTAAGCATCTGCTGGGCAAACACAAGGTACTGAGTATGATCCCCAGATTATATAATCATATAACTATCAAGCTCCATAGCCAGCTAAGTGATAGTTGGGAAGACATAAGCCTGTTGACTGTCCTGCACTATTCCTGCCTCACAGGCTTCTGGGCCTGCTATCTCCTTTCCACAAGACAGAATATGAACAGGGGTGGCACTTCTCTATTTGGAAGCAGTGACAGATCCCTGAGTTTTCTGGGGAAGGGAGTATCCTCCTTGATCAGTGAGTATGCTTAGTGCCTGTAAGGAAGCTGGAAGGCAGCCAGGATCAGGTACCTCTTTCTTCTGCTGCTCTGCTGCTGCACTGCAAAACTAGGTATAGGGAGCCAGGGGCAGTAAGACACCAAATGACCCTTGCCTTTGTGCATTAATTATTATTTTCCACTTCTCAAGCAGCTGCTGGAATGCAGCCAGAACCCCAGCTGACTGAGGAACATGTAGTCAACTGAGCCCTCTTGTGTCCTTACTAGCTTTGTTTTAATGGGTTATAATGATAGTCATGATTATAGACCATGTGGTGTTAACTCTGAGATAAATGGCACACTCTGAAACGCTATTAGAACTACATTACTCTGTTGCAATTGCATCTTTGCAAACAGAAAAGCTTACAAAAAAGATGGACTACTTTTGAGGCTAAAAATGAACATGGTAAATGTATGAGTGCAATGTATTATCTGTATATCTATTTATCTATATCTGTATCTATATGCGCCAGGATATATTTTCTTGTGCATTTTCTTGCTGTTTCCCTTCCTGTGTTCTATATCTGAGTAAAGCATTTCTGTTGACCATTTTGGGTTGGCGCTGAATAGTATACAGGTGGGTAAGGAATACATGAATGAAGCAGTAAGTTTCTGTGATGTAAGAGATGAGACGGGCCTCATTTATGAATGCAGCACTCATGTCTCATCAGCCCTAAGACATCCACCTAGTTGCCCGAGTTTTCCTAAAAAGTTCATATGGTGTCCTTTATCCTGTGGCCCACTTCTCCCAGTAACCATAGGCACCTAATTGTTAGACACCTGGCTCAGGTTAATGGCACAGTCTGTGATCCATTGAATGTTTGCTTTCTGTGCAAAGCTGAGTGTACTTAGCAGAACATGTGTCTGGGCCCATGATTTCATCAGGACCCTGTTCATTAGCTCAGCTGTCCTACCTAAGCTGGTAGAAAGATATAGATACATTTTTCCATAGTGAGAAAGAATGTTGAATAACATCTTCTGAGTCATCATGCAAGTGTATTAAGATATCAATTTCAGTTAATGTTAGGCAAATTTGGTTTATATCTGAAGATTATTTTTGCAGGGCATATCAGTTGAAATAGCAAGACTTACAAAGGCAGCAATTAGTGAGCTGATTACTTACCATTTACTCCTTTGGAAAGAACATTACTGAGACACTAGCTTTTATGTAGGGTATAGAAACAAATGTGTTATTTTAAGGATAACATAATAATTTAATTAAGATACTGTTTTAAAACTATAAGGATGATTCAGCTAGATCAGGGTGAAGTGTGTGACTTTAGAAGAAAGATTTTTATCAGTTTAAAGGAATAAAATAATAGATGCTACTCTGAACCTTATTCATAATAGTACAATATTCATTTTTGCAATAGAAATGGAATTATTTGTTCTCCTAAATATATTAAGTTTCATTCAAGAGTTAACTTTCAAGTTCATACTTTTAATAGGAAACATAGTCATGCAGTACTAGATAATTAAATTCATAAACTATAAAGAGTGTTGGATCTTTGTATGTTGTATCCCAAATAACTAAGACCAGAGATATTTTGAGGAGACCATTTGTGCATCAAAACACAATCCTAAGGCAGATATTTAGCATCTCATTGTACATACATTTACATGTTTAGATGAATGAAGCTGACATGATTTAATCAATGAACTATCTGATATTTTTAGAGTCAGCGAATGAGGCACAGCAACCACTCCACAGAGAACTCTCCAATTGAAAGACGAAGTCTAATGACCTCTGATGAAAACTATCACAATGACAGGGCTCGGAAGAGTAGGAACCGCTTGTCTTCCAGTTCCCAGCATAGCCGAGATCATTACCCTCTTGTGGAAGAAGATTACCCTGACTCATACCAGGACACTTACAAACCTCATAGGAACCGAGGCTCACCTGGGGGATACAGCCATGACTCCCGACATAGGCTTTGAGGCTGCCAATACAAAAAATAAAAAGTTTTCATCTGTTGACTATTTGCCATAGCACTGCTAGGATAAACCAATCATTTTAACTTGGCAAGCACAGCACAGTACTTACTGTGCTTATGAGCTGCTGTCATTTGATGCTCAGTAAGGGGCAAAAAAAATGTACATTATGCCCTTGAATTAGATGGATATTAGATGCCCAATCATATAGATATTTTTAAGTGCAACATTTACATGATAACAGTAACTTTTGTTTTCTTCATAGATTTAGACACATCAATTCGTAGTCTAGAGTACTTATCAAGGCACATATAAAATAATTTCCCATGCTGGAAATTCCAAATGACCAGTTCCAGTTGGAACCAATTTATAAACCAATTCCTGTTGGAATTTGGGTGAATTGACTAGAATGTCTACTTGAGCATGTTGCAATCAATTTAAAAATTGGAAAAAAAAAACCCTAATTAATATGAAAATCAAAATACAAATAGAAGCCAAAACCAGCTATGGTATTTATTTACTGGAAGCTAAATTTACACTTAAAGTTGGATATGTAAACATTTTAATATATGTCTTGCCAGAATGGCTTTTCAAACTTACCAAATATATTGATAGTGCAAAAAAAAAAAAAAAAACCTCAGAAATCTTAATGCAGAAATTATAGTCTCTTTAGATTTTAATATTTTCATTTCTTTCCTGGCACAGCTGTTGTATTCAAAGTGTTTTGCTTTCTGTTCAGTCAATACTGTTAGTATGTTTGAAGTTGGCAAAAGAGAAAAGGAAAGAAGAAAAAAAAAGTCAAAAATTTCAGTTGTAAAAGAGAATAGTAAAGAGAAGTCCAAGAGCAGCTGGTTATTAGAAGTGGAACATGAGGTGTTGGGTGTTGTTTCTTCTTTCATCAACATGAGCACAACTGCACATATCCAGGAATGTGAAGTCAGATAGCAAGGATGTTCTGCAGATCATCCTGAGTGCAAAGCCAAGCCTCCCCAGAAGGGCCTACACCTGCCCACTTAACACATAAGGTCAGGATTTCTGGCCAGCACAACTATCTTGCTGTTGTTTCACTCAGTCTGTTTTTAAATATCTAAATATTCTAGCCCGTCACTAATTTTTTTTTATCATGCTAAAGATTTTTGTTTTCCATGGCACATTCAAATTAGATGTTGAAAGCTGTTTTTTACAAAATGACTAATCAGAGAAAGTTCAAAGAAATGATAAATTTAAAAGCTTGAAGTAAGAAAAAGGTCATAGATTCAGAATAATTTGTTCACTAAGATTACAGCATTCTTAATGAAAAATTATGAAGACTTTGGAGCTTGAGCTGACTTATAAACACTGCTCCTCGCTTACCAGTAGTTCAGTTTTCCTAGTGACTATAATTATGAATTGGTGGCCTCTGTCTTACATTATCAAGGATGCCTTAGATTCACTATGATCCAATAAATTATTGAAATAGACTCTTTTATAATACAAAATGTATTTATGAAAGATTCTTGTTTCTAAAATTCCACAATGCTTGCATTTTCTAAAACTGTAATAGGACCAGGCATAAAATTCTTTTTCTACATCTCCTGAAGCCTATTTTTGAGAACAAGAATAATTAATTTTGAGGCTGAGTATAGCTTATTGGTAGAGTGCTTGCTTAGCATGTTTGTAGGCCCTGGATTCCACCCCCAGCACCCCGATAAAACCTTGAGTAATTAATTTTGTATTGTCCTATTTTTCCCCAAGTTTTTCAATATTCAGTCTCTTGAAGTATGCACCAGTTCCAATTATTTTCTTGATCAAGAAAATAGGTTTCATATTACTAATTACTTACACATATCTTGGACCCTATTACAGCCTCATCACATGACCTCCCCTCTGTGTGAACCCCATAATGAATCTTTAGCTGATAACAAGGATACATATAATTCTATAAATCATCTCAAACATTTGATACAATATGGGCTCAGTAAATTTTAAAAGTTAAACATGATACTGGCTTGTGAAGTTCTTTTATCATTTAGTAAACCTTCTTCAGTTAAGACATTTAAAAGAACTGTATCCATTAGGCTCTTTAATAAATACCTAACCTGCCATCACTGACTACTTTGTTAGAACACAGAAGAGCTTTTTCCAGCAAACAGAAATAGACTTATTACATGTACAGCACATATTTGCATGAGAAAGAAAACATTAGCCAAGACATTCTTCTATATGCTTTCCTGGTTTCTTGTTTGTGTGCATTAAAGTATTTAATTGCAGAGTGCACCAAGGTGTATAAATTTAGACTAGACCGCTGTTCAGCTTTTTCTGTAGTAGCATTAGCAATTTGGTCATTTAACTGCTTTAAGATATTTACATTTTTATGGCAGGTAGCTGATACAGCATTTACATATATTAAAAAGATTACCATTTTTTTAACTTTTAAAAAGCCACTTGTTTTTAAAGGTCTCTCAAAACCTTGTTCCTAGTCTTCCATGTGATGATGAAAGAGAGAGGCCCTTTCAATATCTGTGCACAAAACTGGTACATCGTTTATCATCAAATTGTCCATATTTGTTTTGCTTTGCATTTTTATCCAAGGGTTGACAGTCTTACAAAGGGTATAATGTATATTTTCTTGATGGATGTATTTCAAATATCACTTTAATTTGGCATATTATTTCACTTTCTGTAATAGGTTTATCTTCTCCAAAGGAATGAGATATGCATTGTTCTTTTGTTTTAAAGCCTTAGAATTTATTGTGTAAATGATACTAAAATCCAGATACATGCTAAATAAAAGTTTTATTTTTCTCAAGCACACCAAGCACCTTTGGAAAATACATATTCCACAAATATTTTGTTTTTTATTAACTTCATTTAAAATAGAAAATTATTATAAGCAAGAAAAAGGAGTCATAATATTTTGAGGCTGTTTGAACTGGTAGTATAAACCACATTTCAATTTTGTAATTTCAATCATCAGACTTGTAACAGTGTAGCCTTCTATGATAATGTGAAAGCATAGCCCTGGAAAGAAAAGGAATGCAATTTATCTGTTCTGATGTTAGTTCTCAAAGTTATAATATGACTCCAATATTATAATTAATAGTGTTATCTTGTTTACTCCAGTATTTAAAGAAACAAAAATGTTTATAAATGACTGATGAATCTCTCTTATGTTTATATAGTTCTTTTGGAAAGATGGAAATTGTGAACAATTTAGACTGATGGGCTTTCCTAATAAGAGAGTGTTAATTTTGTGACTATACAAGTCATTGCATTTTGTTCTTAATGAAAAGAATTTTTTAAATGTGAAACAAAATTGGAATTATGTGTTCCCTTTAAAGAATTTGTTAGTTACTCAAATTGTTGTTGTTGTTGTTTGCAAAATGTATTTTTGGAATGTTAACCTCTTTTCATTCCTGCATACTTGAACTTGTCTTTTGTGTGGGGGCCTTAAAATTTCTCATAGAAAGTAGGGCAATGAAAGTGAGGGAAGAAATCATGCAGAAAATGATTTACAAATGTAAAGTCTTTAAATGAACATATCACAAATATTGTTGAGACCCAGGGTGTAAGTGAAAAATGTTTCTAGGCAACTTTAATTTGCATGCTAATGTATCTTCTTGGTTGTAGAATTTTACTTTGGTATTTGTTTAAGGAGCAAACCAACATAATATCACTATAGAAATTGCCCTATGTGGATATTTATTCTACCTCTTCTCTAGAGAAGACAGTCTGTCTTTAAAGGGAAAATATTTGTCAAAAACTAGTGATCAGATTTCTTACTATTACTGCTAACCTTGCCGCAAAGCTAAATGCATAACGTATTGAAATAGCTTTCCCTTTAGATTTGAACCTGTTTTCCAAAATGATTTTGTCACTCTTTCATTTCTTCTACATGAGTTATGTTTTCTTGAATTGGTTCACATATATCACGAGGCATGGTTAATTTAATAAGTAAGTCATCATAGGGAACGAAACAAAAAAAGGCAAAGGAATTTACATTTTATACACCTGTTATAATGCCTAGTGCTAAGTCTACAAGAGAAAGGTCCAGAGACTTGTTTAATACAGTTGGCTTGCAAATTCAAATTCTGTTGATCTTTGACTTCTGTAGACACCAACAGCACAGTGTAGCTACTTCTTGATTAAGGATGTATGTTAGCTCGGATTCCCATGTAACTGGAACAAACTTCATATCAATATTTTGAATAAATAATTAACATAACACTTATTCCTTTAATATTTCTGCCTTTGTCTTTCATGACAATGTTGCATGTTGTTTTTTTAAATTATATAAAACTCATCTGTGAATGAAAACATAATTATAGGAAATTATGCATTGAATCTGTTTTATTAGTTACCTATATCTTAAATACTGGCAGTACTGTAATAAGTTATTTATTTGAACTGTGTCTATGCTGAAGAAAACATTCCTGTTTTTTCAAAATGATGATCATGATCAAAACGATCAATATAAGAGCTATTAACCAGTAAGAATGACTTTCTTCTTGTTGAGTTAAGCAATCAAGTTAGTCAAAACAGTGAAGTTGGTTGATCTGGACAGACAGAACTTCAGCATTTAAAAATTATATTTTTAAAGGTTTGTTCTTTAATTAAATGGGTCCTTCAATGAAATACATCCTCTGATAGCAACCATCTCTGTCTAACTATGGATGATTTAATCCCAAATGCTTGTGATTGAGGTATATTATCAGATTAGAAGGTATTTTACTCGATAATGTTAATTAAGGGCTGTAACTTCCACTTGCCATGAAAAACATATAAATAAGAATGAATAGCACTGACTTTTGGGAAGTCAGTTTAATGTGAAACTTTCCTTTGTTGCTTTTGATGGATGAGAAGAATGTTTACAGAAAGGTGGTAGAATATGTCATGAATGAATTTAAAATGGTTTGAGGAAGGCACTGATGCTTCCTTATCTGAAAATTATAAAGAATTAAAAAAAGATCTAAAAGCTAAAAGTGGCTGGCCTCTATATTTTCAATATTTTGTAAGTGTTCTTGGTTATGTGTTGAACACTTAAATTTCTCAACCAATGGCTGTCTCATATGTGTAGGGGCCTCTCTTGCCCTACCTGCATGCCACTTTCACACACATGTAACTGAAATCAGTGTGAATTCTGTATGCATAATGGATGTATTTAAGATGTGGGATCATTAATGCTATATTGTTGCATACTATTTTTCATATGCCTTACGATATTTTCTGGGACATTATTAAAATGAAAGCATTTTATTGCCAAAATAAATCTATGTTGTTACTTCTGCATTAGCAGTAGAAAAATAAATAATGTAGCAAAAAATATATATTGTACAGTACAAAATGATAAAATATATATATTTTGCCAATAATATGAATAGATTGAGGAGAAAGCACATTTGTTATAGCACAAACTAACAATACCCACTGTTAAATTTGGCAGTCCTGTTTTTTAAAAGTATATAGATTTAGTTCTATTTATTTCATCTATCATCTTTTTAACTTGCTGCTTGATGTTTTTCCAACAATTTATTTGATAGCCTTGCAATCTGTGGATGTATTTATTTTGCTCCTGTCCATGAAACTTATTAAATTTTATTTTGTGGTAAGACTCATACTATTTTTTCTGTTCTTTTTTCTTCTCCTTCACAACAACTACAAAATGTCACAGCAAATGCACTCATAGGGCTCTTCTGAACTTTATCTTTTTCACAGCCTCAAATTTGAATGATCAGGAAGGATGTCCCATTGAAAAAATATTACTTAAGGGTTAATTCATTTTGTATGTAACACTTTTGAAACGTTAGGTGAAAGCATTAGCTTTGCTTTTGAAGGGTTGGTAGGAGTAAATACAGTTAATATAAAACATACTAAAAATAAATATGACAAAAATGATGTAAAAAGATTTCCCTACCATTCTGAGGGCTGTTGATATCCCAGATAATTGCTATATCTACAATGATTACATGAGAAAAAAAAGCCTTTGTCAAATAATTTTTTCTTTAAATTTTATTTATTTTGATAATTTCCCCCTTTTTTAATATAAGTGTATGTGTATCATTTCCAAGGCATGCTGGGTAAAATATACTATGCAAATGTGTACAGTGCTGCATGTTTTGTTCTCCCTCTGTTTTAGTGACTTCAATCAAAAAAATGTGGTGTTATTTTTGTGAACAAAGACATTTAACAAAGAAAATGCAGAGCGCATGCATACAGTATCCTAATTTCTATGGATTTGTTTTATGGAATTTAAATGTATACAAAACAACTGCATTAATTTTTTCTTTTATATAATAAATGAAAAACACTGAAACCAGCGTTATACCTCTCCTTTATATTATTCTACAGATGTATTGAATACTAGAAATCATTAAGTGGCTTTGTATTCTTTTCATAGGAAAAAAATTAAAAGTTACTCTAAAAACATAACAAAGGAGTCAATTAATTGACTGTTTCCTGAATACTCCACTAGGTGCTATGAGTGACCACAAACAAAATACTGTGTAAGAACTTAAAATTACACACAGACACCCCAACAATGAAGTGGAATGTATTAGAATGTACAGTAGGACTGAATAGATGCATCTTACTGCTCACAAGACACACATAAATGATTAATGTAGCTCTAATCAGAGGTTTGCAAAACTATCCAGTACCTGTAAGAATTCCATATATGATACACAGATTAGAATGACATTACATGTAATCAAGGTTAACTGCCTACACTAGACTAGACTGGAATTTAACTTTTCTCTCATTGCACTATAAGAAGTTCAAAAGAAATATATACTATATTGATTATTATCACTGTATTACAATTACTGATTACAGCTTAGTTATTTCATAATCCATCTGGCCATCCTGGAAATTAGGTAGGGTATGGATTATTAGACTTGACTACAGATGAAAAGACCAAACCTCATTTTAACCCCTTTCTCTGAAGTATTTTTGCTTAAAAATGCATAATAATGCCTGGAATGCAACATATACTGAATGAATGAGCAGTATCTTGTTATTAGGTGTTATCAAAGCATGTCAGCTAACAATCTGCAATTCCCAACAGAAAGAATTGAAGTTGTTCAATATTGCTGCATCAAGCGAACACTTGCCAAAGCCACCTCTCATCAGCAGCACATTTGCACTAGTCAGATGGACTGTGGAAACACCTTGTGCTTTCATAAAACGTTCAGATTACCACAGTGGTTAGCGTGTAGACTCACCTGGATTGAAAAACCTAGATCCAACAATGACCAGTTTTGCGCACACGGTAATCACAATATTCCTGTGCCAGGATCTGTTTCTTTAGAGTGATTTTTCTTTTGATATGGTCACATTTTCCTGTTTCCTTGCGTGTCCGGCAAGTTTTTATTGGATTTAGAACATTTTAAACTTTACATTGTTAATAATTTGACCTTGTATTCCTTCCTAGTGTTGGACTCGTTTGCACAGGCAGTTGTGGTCCTCTCATACTTCATATAGAATTGGTGTAAAGTAGGGCTTATCCTAGGCTAATCCAGTCCCTCTTTTTAAAGTCTCTGGGATGTCTCCTGAATACATTCTTTCTGGCTGAAAGGAACTCAAGTGATTTCTGAATCAAAATTGTTACAGGCAGCCTTCTCGGGTTTTATACTACACAACTACAGATGTGTAGGTAGCTGAAGACTTGGTGGCTTCCTTGGCTGGTTTCTAGAGTTTTTCTCTGTGTAGCTTTCTTCTTTCAGTTACACTGCTTTACAGTTTCTAGACACCCTGATCTCAAAACACCGATTACTGTTCTCATTCTACGCTATTGCCACACTTGTGTATTTGGCTAGGAATTGCTTTGAGGCAGAAAGTCCAGACATTAATAAACTTTAACATCTGTCCTTTTTTTAGGGATCAAAGTCCTCTTTTCCAGTATTTGAAAACAAATTTTGTTTGTATTATGTCCACTGTTTTTAATAAAAGGTAAATCCAGACCATCTTCATCTCTTCTTTCTTTGAATAGTGGGCTGTCCAAAGACATTTTGCACACAGCCATAATCATTGATAAATTTTCAAAAGATCTCAGAAGTGTTCTACACATACATTCACACCACACCTCAGCTTCCAATTACATGGTTAGTAGTTACAAATTGGTAATTCACAAAGATCACAGTCCACCAATACTGTCACTTTCTTTTTCTTAACACACACTCCATAAATACTCTGGAAGACCATCTCCTTAATAGTTATAAAATATAAAGCCCTAGCTTCACGAATTAGTATGGCCTGACATGCATTTAACAAATCAACAGAAATGTGTGGGAGTTAGCAAAAGTCTCAGAATTGCCAAAACATTACCTACAATGTGCAAGAATGAAAATACAAGTTAATGCAAGTTGATTGCACTAACTATATTTTTCTCAACAGCCTAGTAAAAGAAAAAACTTAAATCCAGGCATCATCTACATACTGTGCATTACTATAAAGGATTTTCTTTCATGTTTTCTCTAAATTTGACTTTTTAATGTAAACCCCAAAAGAAGTCTTAAAACATTACTTTTTTATGTGTTGAAACCAGAGCCTGCGGCGAGCAGTCAGGTGGGCAAGACAGACCTGAAAGTGGAAGGAGACGGGAGAGGAAGTCCCTTGAAGGTGCCAAGACAGGCTTAAGACGGCTTCCGAGATAAGGCCAGACTCCGGCTGAGTGCGAAGGGTCAAGAAGCTCTACGGAGAAAGCCCCCGGAACAGCTAGTCGTCGAGGGTCAAGATGGATTTTGGGTGGTGGAATGTGTGTACGTTACGGCTTTATAGAGGCTATTCAGGGAGAACGTAACTCGGTGGGACGCAGCAGCAACCCGTCGCGGGCCGCCGCGCAGCCACGACGACCACCGCACAGCCCCAGGCCGGCAGGCCCCGCGCTCGCGACTCGCGCGCCGAGCCCCTCCCCG